CCACTTCTCTTCCTCCTCCTCCTCTACATCTTGTTCCTCCTCCTCCTCCTCGTGCTCCTCCTCCTTCTCCGATTCCTCCTGCTTCTCCTCCTGGACCTTCTGCTCCTCCTCCTCCTCCTCCACCTCCTCCTGCTTCTCCTCTTCCTCCTCTACCTCCTGCTCCTCCTCCTTGTCCTCCTCCTCTTCTTTCTCCTCCTTCTTCTTTTCCTCCTCCTCCTCGTCCTCCTCCTCTTCCTTCTCCTCCTGCTTCTCTTCCTCCTCCTCCTCCTGCTTCTCCCCCTCCTCTACCTCCTGCTCCTCCTCTCTTCCTTCTTCTCTTGCTTCTCTTCCTCCTTCTCCTCCTCCACCTCTTCCTTCTCCTGCTCCTCCTCCTGCTTCTCCTTCTCCTCCTGTTCCTCCTCCTCTTGCTTCTCCTTCTCCTCCTGTTCCTCCTCCTCTTGCTTCTCCTCTTCCTTCTTCTCCTCCTCCTCCTTCTCCTGCTTATCCTCTTCCTTCTCCTCTTCCTCCTCCTCCTCATTCTCCTCCTTCTCCTTCTCCTCATTCTCCTCCTTCTCCTTCTCCTGCTCCTCCTCCTCCTCTACCTCCTCCTGCTCCTCCTCCTCCTTCTCCTTCTCCTCCTCCTCCTCCCCCCCCTCCTGTCCTCTGTCTTCTCTGGCAAGGGGATGGAACCCAGGGCCTGGCAGAGTGTAGGCAAAGCTCTACCCGAAGCCGCATCGCCAGCCAACCCTTTTATTCTGAGACAGGCCTCCGTAAGTTGCCCAGGCTGGCCTGGAAATTGTGACCCTCCTGCTCAGATCCCAAGTGTCTGGGTGACAGGCATGGCCCCATGCCTGGTGACTTCAGCTGTTCCTTACGAGGAGCTTGGTAAAGGCCAGCATTTGAGACGCCGTTCTGGGTGGGGTTGTGGGTACACATGCCTGTTCAGCCAGGTGGCTCCACTTCTGTCTGGGACACCCCCAGGATGGCCCGCCAGGGGGCAGAGGACCCCAGGATGACTGACGTGGGCCCAGCAGCGCTGTCCTGCAGCCCAATGCTGAAGGAAGACGGGGGTTCCCAGGACAGGCCTCCCTCTGGTGGTGGCAGAGCTGGAGCCCTGGCTGCCCCAGGGATGCGGGTGGCTGCAGGTTCCCCAAGGTCAAGCCCAGAGGTTCTCCTCTGAGGACAGAGCTGTGAGCGGGCGTCCTTTTCTGTTCCACTGGAGTGCTGCACAGCCCTAGGGAGGTGGCCCAGCCTCTCTGAACCTGTAGTGGGCTCCTGTTCTACAACATGGGAGACGGGAGGGAGTTCTGATCACCCGTCTGGAAACTCTGTGGGACCTGAGAGAGGTCACCAGGTTGAAGGAGCCATCCAAAGGCCTGCTGCCCAGGAATCAGGACCCACCTCTGCCGCCCTGGGGAGTGGGGATCGGCGGCCTCAGGGAGCCAGGGTGCTGGGTGGCTGGGGCCCCTCCAGCCCCTCCCTAGGTTGCTCCCTCCACCTCCAGGGACACCAGCCCCACCTGTCCTCCTCCTGCCCAGCTGCACCTGCAGCCTGCTGGGCCTTGGCTGCTCCCGCAGGCCTCAGCTGATGCTCCCTGCTCATCGGGTCCTCGAGCTGCCGGCCCGTCTGTGAGCCTCAGCAGGAGGGAGGGTGGGAGGGTGGGGGTCCCCCCCCCCAAAGCCTGCGCTGCGGCCTGCTCCTGCCTGCTCATCTGGGGGTCACCCACTTAGTGCATGAGGCCACCACAGGTGGGGCCCCACCTCCCAGAGCCCTCGCCTACAGGGAGGGAGCTGGGCAGCTGGAGGAGCACAGGCCATCGCAGGGCTTCACAGTGCCACCTGTCCTCATGTGGGACTCAATCAGCACAGTAGCATCTTTACCCCCCCGCCCCAGACACTCATCCTGGTTGTCCACCCCATCCCCGAGACCTCTCCCTTCCTCCTCCTGGGCAGCCCTGTAGCCACCCTGCGTCCTCCACTGCCCCCCACCACCCAACCCCCCCATCCACCACCCACCACCCCCCATCCACCCCCCCAACCCCCACTCCCACCCATCCCCTGCCCCCCATCCCCTCAGGGCCCGGCTGCCCACGCGCCCACACCATCCTGAGCTCAGGGAGCCGAGCAGGAGGACCCGGAGGCCCGGCTCCTGCAGCTCAGGCCTGGGCTCCCACCTCCCTGGGGGGAGAGGGCCCTGGGGCGCAGAGTGCCCAGGCCCCGTGGAGCCCGCCGAGGCCAGGCCCCTGCAGCCTGTTCCCCGGGTCCTCCTTCTCTGGCAGTGGGAAGGGCAGAAGAGGAGGCTCGGGAGGTGGACAGGGCAGCTGGGGGAGGAACAGGGCTGTGAGCCGAGGGCCAGGTGGACCTGTGCACGGGCCTCCACGCCTGGCCGCCCTGCTGTGCCCAGCTGCCTCTGCATGAAGGGCATGGTCCCCCCTCACCACTGGGAAGGAAGGAAGGAGCCCTGGGCGGCAGGGGGGCTTTGCTCACCCACCCTGGGCTCCGTGGGGTCCTGGAGTGCTTGGGACAGGGGCGGGGTGCAGCACCCAGGCCCCCAGGAAACATGTGGCCCCCCACCTCCCTGGCCCCAGCCTTGAGGGGCGCCATACTGGAAGACCAGGGCACACAGACACGGTCGACCTGGGGGCCAGGCCTAGGGAGGGCTACTGAGGCAGCGGTGGTTGCTCTGCAGCCAGGGGTCTGCGGGCGGACAGGCCACCTCCCTGGAGGTGGAAGTGGTGGAACTGAGCCAGGCCCCTCCTCTGTCCACAGTCCACGGCTCCCACCTCCCTCTGGTCAAAGCCCAGGTCCTCCCTGTGGCCCGTCCCTCCCTGCCTCCCTCCTCCTCGCTAGCCGCTGTGGCCCGCGGGCTCTCCCTGAGCCACAGCCCGCCAGGCCGTCCTGCCCCAGGGTCCTTGCCCGTGCCCCCTGCCAGGGTCTGTCCACGCTGCTTCGTGGTCGTGCGAGGCCCCCTTGCCTGTGCACTCCCTGGCTCCTGGCTTGGAAGAGGCTGAGCCCCGGGCGGGCAGGGCCTCCAGGACTGTGAAGGCGGAGCCAGGCCCAGAGAGCAGGCCGCTGCAGGAAGGCTCAGTGGCCACGGCCAGGGCAGGGCCCCGGGGGTGCTGGGGACACAGGGCCAGGCCACCCTCTAGTGGCATCTTGGGCCCCGCAGGGTGCTGCCCAGGACACCCCAGCTGTGACAGTCACCAGTGCCCCAGACCTCATGCCCTGGGGAACACTTGAGCCACCCCCCTCGCTGTGCCACAGGCCCAGGCCCAGGCCCAGGCCAGCCCTGCTGGGCGAGGAAGGAGGCTCCAGGCAGCCGAGTGGAAGCAGAGCTTGTTTAATCTTTATACATTTTTTTTCTTTTTTTTTTTGCCTTTTATTGAACTGTGTGGCCCCCCGATTTCTTTTTTTTGCATAGGGAAACAACAGGGTACAACAGCCAGAGTCACCTCCCGCAAAC